TTTTCAAACACTCAGCAATCTTTACATTAGTTTCATGTAATTTTTTGGTGTGCAGCTATTTGTTTATTCACTGAGGCTTCTGGGCTGTGAGAAGCTGTGGCTGACCCAGGGGAAGCTGTGGCTGACCCAGGGAAGCAGATATGGTGCTTGACAGACTCTTCCCCTTAACCTAGGAATGTAGACACCATTGCAAGGAGAAAGAGCAGAGATAGACTCACCAATTCCATTTCCCAATTAGCCACCACAAACATCCTGGTTTTCACCATATCCCTTGAAGTTTGGGGATCTCCATATCCTCGACTCAAGGAGATCAATCCATTGAGCTTGAAAAAGAGAAGGCTAAGGGGTGACTTGATTACAATTTATGAGGACTTACATGGAGAACAAAAAATTAAGAATGGTCTCTTCAGTCTAGCAGAGAAAGGTACAACACAATCCAATTGCTGGGAGCTGAAGCTAGACAAATTCCGACTAGAAATAAGGCATACATTTTTTAATAATAAGGGAAACAATTTACCAAGGGTCGTAGTAGATTTTCCATCACTGGCAATTTTTAAATCAAGATTGGATGTTTTTCTAAAAGAGCTGCTCTAGGAATTATTTTGAGGAAGTTCTCTGGCTTCTGCTATACAGGAGGTCAGACTAGATGATTACAGTGTTTCCTTCTGGTCTTGGAGTCGACGACTCCTTGTACACTTGCCATACTAAAATCCCAGGAAACCCAATAAATAAAATTGTCATTTAAAATGAAGCATAAAATCCTTCCGCCACAACACAAACCCTGAAAAAAATTCAAGAAATGCCAAGTTATGAGATACCCCAACTCCCACACAGCAGTTTTCATGGACTCCAGTGACGGACTCCACTTCTTTATAAAGAACTTCCATTTGCTGCCAAGAAACAGAGAAACACTACATCCAAACACATTTACCTCCTTCACAGTATCAGATAAAAACTTTAATTACTACCGCTTGCTCCCGTCACGATCACATGGCACAGCACAAACTTTAACCTATGGTGCATATATGTCAGTGCTAAGTATTTGCTAATGTTGCTGAGGTTGTCATTAAGGTTCTGCCATCATGCAAGTGAGATCAGTGTGTTGTGTGAAGAGTGCTTGATCATCTGCTGGAGGTGGAAGGGAATTCCTTGTGAAGCTATGCAATCTGGTACTGCCAGCAGAGCATGTTCGGTGCACCTGTAGCTCTGGTTAAGAGGTGTCATATAACTTGGCATTTTCTTGCTCTTCAAAGTTTACAGTAGGTATATGCCACACTGAGACTACACGTAAAAGGAATTAAGGTTGGGTTTTGTTTATGGAATACACAGAAAATTTATTTCTACTATCCCCTCACCCACTCAGAATACCACCACCCAAGGTGTCGTTCTGAAACAAAAATGCTTGATGTGCCATCTTTTTAAAATGTACCAGGGGAACTGGATAGCTCTGGTGGTTAGTAATGGTGGGATATGGTGTTTTCATCTCTAGGGAGCTGATGTGAATATAGCCAAAGTTCACAGTAACAAGCTCATAGACTTTAAGGTCAGAAGAGACCAGCATAATCATCTAGTCTGACCTCCTGCACATTGCAGGCCACAGAACTTCAGACACCCACTCCTGACCCCTAACCTCTGGCTGAGTTACTGAAGTCCTCAAACCATGATTTAAAGACTTCAAGTTACAGTGATTTCACTATTTACTCTAGTTTAAACTTGCAAGCGAACTGCGCCCCATGCTGCAGAAGAAGGTGAAAAACCCCCAGGGTCTTTGCCCATCTGACCCGGGGCAAAATTCCTTCCTGACCCCAAATATGGCCATCAATTAGACCCTGAGCATGTGGGCAAGACCCATCAGCCAGGCACCTGGGAAAGAATTCTCTGTAGTAACTCAGAGCCCACCCTATCTAGCCTCCCATCACTGACTGATTGGGATATTTGCTGAAAGCAGTCGCACATCGGCAACATGCCATTGTAGACAGTCTCATCATACTATCCCCTCCAAAAACTTATCAAGCTCAGTCTTGAAGCCAGTTTTGTTGTTGTTGTTGTTGTTTTTTTTTTTGCCCCCACTGGCTTCAAGACGGTCCAGTGGCTGTTGGACAGCACATTAGGTGAAATGAGCCCATGATGTCAGTTCGCTTCCTACTGGATAAGGTAAATGTTACCAACCTCACTGGGCCTCCGCCCCCTTGTTGGCTGACTGAGGGGCCTAGGTACTCTCTTATCATGGCTAAGGCATGGGGGACACTGCCACTGCTGCCCCATGGGCTCTAGCCCTGTCCTGTAGGCATGGTCTGGAAGGCTCGCACTTCTCACCAGTGCTTCCCTGTTACTAAATGCCCAGTCCGCCCTTGCTGGGCCCCAGTTTGGGAATAAGGTTTGCACACCCATGGTGGGCTTTTCAAAGGAGATTAAAGGAATAAAGCATCCAGCTCGAGAAGCAGCCCAGCCCAGGCACCGTTCCCTGGTGAGAATGCCTTGCGCCAGGCACGGTAGGGATGAAAGCCAAGGTGCATCTCAGCACAACACCTTTCCCTCAATTCAGGGTACAGCTCCTGCCAATGCATCCCCCAAACTCTCCAGGAGGCAGCACCCCCCAATGCACAGCCCCCCCCCAGCTATACCCTCAATGCACACACCCCAGCTCTGAGGGTGTGATGCTCCCCCCCCCACAACCCCCAAGCTGACCCCCCCCACTGTACACCCCCAGCTTTCCAGGGTAAAGCATGCCCCAAGTCCACAATTCCTCCAGCTCCCCCCAGTGCAAGCCCCCCCCAGCTCTCTGGGGGGAAGCACTGAACAACATCTCCTGCCAGCTCTCTGGGGTATCCAATACACCTCTGCCCCACACCCAGCACCCCAGCCCCAGCACTGAGTGGCACAGGGCTCTGGCTCTGACCGATCCACCCATCTGGAGGCTTGGCCTGGCTCATACTGGCTGCAGCTACTTCAGGGCAACCCTCCCCCCACCCAGGGCACAGCTCCGCTCCCCACCACACATTGTCCATGCCAGCAAACAGCCCAGCGCACAGCCCCGCTCCCCCACATTACCCCTCCCGAAGGGCACAACCCCCCCGCTTCCCCCCCCCCAGCGCACAGCCCTGCCTCCCCAGGGCTCCATCCCTCCCAATTCACAGCCTTACCTCCCCCCATCACATATTCCTGCTTCCCCTGGGGCATCATACCCCTACCCGCAAAAAGATTAAATACTTTCCACTGCAACAGTAACTCAGAATGATGTTAACAGCAGCTACTAAAGTTGAACATTTTTAAATTAGTAAGTCCAAATAAGTTGTATCCAAGAGATTTAAAGGAGCTGGCCGAGGAGCTCCCTGGCCCATACATTTTGATTTCCAAAAAGTTTTGGAACACTGAGGAGCTCCATAGGACTGGATCAAGGCAATATTTAAATGGGATGACCTGGGTAATTATAGGCCTGTCAGCCTGAGATCTATCCCAGGCAAAATAGAGACTTAAAAGAGGGTAATGTAATGCCAATCAACATGGTTTTATGGAAAACAGGTCCTATCAGACTAACTTGATATAATTTTTTGATGAGATTACAAGACTGATAAAGGTAATAGAATTTAGGTAATAACTTAGACTACTGTCAGGCACCACATAACTTCTTGATTAACAAATTAGAACAATACAAAATTAACATCACATGTTAATAACCTGGCTAACTGATAGATCTTAAAATGTAATTTTACATGTGTAATCATCGAGTGGATGCGTTTTTAATAGGTCCCAGGAATCGGTTCTTGGCCCTACACTATTTAACATCTTCATCAATGACCCGGAAAAAACCAAAATCATTACAGATGAAGTCTGCAGATGACACAAAGGGCAGAGATACAGATCGCTCTGGATCGCTTGGCAAGCTGAGCGCAGGCAAACAATATGTGTTTCAATACAGCTAACTGTAAGGGTGTGCGAAGCATTCAGGCCATACTTACAGGATGGGGGACCCGGCTCTGGGAAGCAGTGACTGTGAAAAAGACTTGAGGGGTCATCATGACGGATAATCAGTTGAACGTGTGCTTCCAGCGCAACGCTGTGACCAAAAGGGCTGACGTGATCCTTGGATGCACAAACAGAGAACATTGAGTAGGAGTAGAAAGGTTATATTACCTCTGTATTTGGCACTGGTGTGACCAGTGCTGGAATCCCATGTCCAGCTCTGCTGATCACAGTTCAAGAATGATGTTGATAAATTGGTGTCCGTTCAGAGACTAAAACGATTAAAGGATTGGAAAACAGGCCTTTCTGTGATAGATTCAAGGAGCTCGACCTGTTTACTTTATCAAAGAGAAAGTTAAGGGGCTACACGATCAGTCTGTAAGTGCCTATGTGAGGAAGAGAAATGTGATGATAGAGGGCTCTTCACACTAGCAAAGTTCTAACACCATCCAATGGCGGGGAGTTGAAGTTAACCAAATTCAGACAGGAAATAAGGTGCAAACTTTTAACAATGAGGGTACCTAACCACTGGAACAACTTACCGAGGGCTGTGGTGAATTCTCCATCACTGGACATTTTTAAATCCAGACTGGACGGTTTTCCAAAAGGTCTGCTCTAGTTCAGTCACAGCTATTGGACTGGAAGCAGGAATTAATTAACACAGGGAAGTCCTATGACTGGTGTCATGCAGCAGGTCGGACTGGAGACAATTGGCCCTTCTAGCCTTAGACCCAGGGCACAGGAGGGCCATCCTTTCCCCTCCCACCAGGGCACAGCCTGCTCCCCCAGGGCCAGGCCCCCTGCCCTAATTGGACAGCCTTCTTCTCCCCTAATACTCAGTGTCGCTTGACCCCAAGACCATCACCCCCAGTGCCCAGCCCAGCCTCCCCCAGCACCATCACCCCCCAGCCCAGCACGGCTCCCTCCCCCCAGCGCCCACATCCCCCTTCCCTTCCTCCCTTGCCCGGCCCGTCCAGTCCCGCGCGCATCCCCCGGCCCGGGCGCAGCGCAGCTCGGCGCTGCGCGGGCGGCGCCGGGCCGGGCCGAGCCGCGCCGAGGCGGGGGCGGCGCCTGCCCCCCCCCCCCAGCCCCTCTCCCAGCAGCCCTTGCAAACGCCTACAATGAAATTTGCGAAGTTTTTTCGGTTTCGGCGCCATTTTCGAGTGGACTCGGAGGTGAGGAGGGAGGGGGGGGTGCGGGGAGCCGCCGGCCCGGCCGGGTTGGGGAGAGGGTTTCGGGGAGGGGAGCCCCGGGAGCGGGCGGGGGGGGGCAGACAGCGACCCCCCGCAGGCCGGCGGCGAGCGGGTTAAAAACTTTCTAGAGGAAGGAAAGAAACCAAAAAACTTTTAATTTGCAAAAAGCCCCCAAATGCAGCGCCCCCCCTCCTCAGCCGGAGGAACGGGGACGGGGGGGGCATGTTTGGGTCGCACGGGTCCAGCGCCGCGGGAGGTGGGGGGGCAGGAGGGCGCTCACCGGGTGTGGGGAGTAAACAAGTTCTGCGAGGGGGCAGCTTCGCAGCCGGTGATAATCCTTTTTAACGAAAATTAGGTGCGTGCCGTGCAGAAGCCCCAATGGTGGCAAAGGGTTAAAGTGCAACTCCCCCTTGCACACTGCCCCGCTCACACCAAGCCCCGGGCTCCCCCCCTTGCACACTGGCCCGCTCGCCTCCAGCCCCGGGCTCCCCCCCTTGCACACTGCCCCGCTCACACCCAGCGCCTCCAGCCCCGGGCTCCCCCCCTTGCACACTGCCCCGCTCACACCCAGCCCCGCCCCCCCTTGCACACTGGCCCCCTCGCCCCAGCCCCGGGCTCCCCCCCTTGCCCACTGCCCCGCTCACACCCAGCGCCTCCAGCCCCGGGCTCCCCCCCTTGCACACTGCCCCGCTCACACCCAGCCCCGGGCTCCCCCCCTTGCACACTGCCCCGCTCACACCCAGCCCCGGGCTCCCCCCCTTGCCCACTGCCCCGCTCACACCCAGCCCCGGGCTCCCCCCCTTGCACACTGCCCCGCTCACACCCAGCCCCGGGCTCCCCCCTTGCACACTGCCCCGCTCACACCCAGCGCCTCCAGCCCCGGGCTCCCCCCCTTGCACACTGCCCCGCTCACACCCAGCCCCGGGCTCCCCCCTTGCACACTGCCCCGCTCACACCCAGCCCTCCAGCCCCGGGCTCCCCCCCTTGCACACTGCCCCGCTCACACCCAGCCCCGGGCTCCCCCTTGCACACTGCCCCGCTCACACCCAGCCCCGGGCTCCCCCCTTGCACACTGCCCCGCTCACACCCAGCCCCGGGCTCCCCCCTTGCACACTGCCCCGCTCACACCCAGCAGAGCTTGCCCAACGCCCCGGCCCCAGTTGTTGACTCTCGGCCTGCGATCGATGCCCTCGCTATTGTATCAGCTAATGACGCAGTTGAGAAGTGACAGGAGACACTTTGTAACCTGCCTTCCCGGGGGGGCACGTGCGGCCTCCCCCCAAGCGAGGGGTGGGGGAGGGTCTAGGTTACAGACCGTTACAAAGTTGCAGGCCGCCGGGAGGGGACGGGTTAAAAAACGGGATGAATTAATTCGATCCAAGCAGTTGGAAAATTGCAAAAGAGATTGGGAGTGTAATTTGGCCGCGTGTGGACACGTTCAACCCAGGGCAGTTTCAATTCGACTTTTGTTTTCGGAACGAGTTTATGCGGAAACATTGCTAAACTAAACGTTTTAGGAGACTAGACCTGTAACGTGTTTGTATACATGTTACTGGTCATATACATTTTAATGCCGTTTCCCCCTTCCCACCCCCGGTCCATTTTTTCAAGTATATGCTTCTTGTTTTATTGAGAGGGAACGTCAGCAATTTTTTTATTGGCTTGTCAACAATACCAAAGTATTTTGTAATTAAATGACTGGATTCAGGATTAAAATCTAATTTAAATTGTACCGTTCTGCGTGTGGAAAGCTTTTAACGTGCTTAAAACTGAGTTTTATAGTATTTTAAAGCTATTGTATTTTGTGGGATAAACCCTGTGATTCTGTTAACTTTTGTTTTGACAGGCTGGAAATGTGAAAAGGGACACTTTAATTTCTAGATCTAAGACTCCTACTCCCTCCCCAAATTCTGTTTTGAAAAATTTAATTTTCTAATAACTTCCAACGAGTAGCTATTTAATTTCTACTGTACTTTAACATTTAGTTTGAAAATATTATTGTAATTAATATTTTTATTTGTTGAGATGTCTAGTGTAATTTAAATGTTTAATTTATATTTCACATCTAATTTGGTATCAGAATAATTTTTTTTAAAGTATTGCATTGTTTGTTACACATTAAACTTACTAAAAATTCCAGAATTAACATTATTTTAAACAATTTATTAGTGTGGAAAAGTTGATGAAAGATACTAGATTCTCATCAAAATATAAATACATGAATGTATATAAAGTAGTAGATTATTATCCATTTTTTCAAGTATATGCTTCTTGTTTTATTAAGAAGAATATTAAGACTGTCCAAAGTGCCAAATAATTGAAAGAAGGGGGGTGAACAAAAAAATCCCTAAGTATTTAACAGTTTTTACTGACCTGTTTCATGCAGGAAATATGAATATCCTGGCAAGCTTGTGAACCTCTAAAACATGTTTTGGTTAGATGAGTTACTGTCTTTCTGTCTGTTTCCAGTGAGGAGAGCAATGTGTATAATTTGTGCATATTTTTAGGAAAATAATTTTCCAAAGCTAGAACAACAAATGTGCAAAATAAATATATATTTTTAAATGTACTGTTACATATACATACATAGGTGTGCCAACATCTGTCTACCTTCAGCATAATCTGAAGAAATTAAAAGAATTTCATTGCTCACCATCTTTATGAATATTTAGTAACCCAAAAGAGCCCATTTTTATAGAAACCTAGTAAAACAGTGAACTGCAAATACAGTAAATAGGAGGAAAGCTTTAGGTGGGCTTTAAGGAAACTGATCCAAATATGAAGAATATATTTACTGCATGCTCATTAGCTTTGAATGAATATTCATCTGACCAAAAAAAAAAAAAAAATCCATAGTTTTTCTTTCTGTTCTTAACAAATAAATATTTTTAGGAGTTCAGGTTCCAGATCCTTACCGTATTATTTAAAACTGGATGAGATGATGGTGAAAAAAATGGAACCAAAAAGCACCGTACTGTTCTTCAATTCTGCAGTTTTGAGGAAAAACTGGATCCTGGGAATTTTACTGATGTTCTGAAATACAGTAAGTTAGGATCTGATCTTACAGGCCTTGCAAGCACAAGTAGTCCTTTCTCACATGAATAGACTCATTTAAATAAATGAGACTAGTCATGTCAGAGTTTGCAGGATCAACCTCTTAATTTTGTAAAACTAGAAGCTTTAATATTTTTATTAATCAAATGATTATGCACTTTATTGTAACAGTTTAGTATCCAATTTTCTGTTCCATTCTCAATACTACCTTAAAAGAGAAGTTAAGTACTTAATCGTGTAACTTTTAAAGGTAGAATATGCCAAAGCTTAGGTTGCAGCTCAAATGTATTTATGTTCATATAATGCTCTTTATTTTAAGAGAAATAGTAGAAGTTAATTTGTGGTGGTGAAAGGATAGATTAAGTACTTTCAATACAGGTGCACTGGAAAAGATTAATATTTTATCTTCACCCAGTTTTATATATATAAAAAATTTAAAATTATTTTGTTCACTTTTATATGGGTACTTTGCTACCCAGTAAGGAGTGCTTAGTAATGATTGTTGCACGACACTTTGCACGCAGATTAGTTTCACTTGAGATGTCTGTGCAAAGGAAAACAACTTCACTATGATACATCTATTAATACAGTGAGCTGTTAATTTAATAGATAGTAATTTCTCTTTACACATCTTCAGCTCAATCTTGGCAGTCTGCAAGTTGAACTGTTTAGGAAATTTAATAGTGAAAAACATGTGGCGGTTGTCAATAAAACATAGGCTATGTTTCTGCCTGTTAAACACATTTGTGAATATTAATATCTTACACTGTTTAAATTCCATTGTTCAAATTAAAACAGATGAAAATGACTGACTTATGAGCACAGTCAGCTATGAACTATTTAAGTGGGTGGGACTCACCACTTCAGGTTTGTTTCATCACCATAGTCAAAATGAGTGGTGTCTTATTTGTTGGTTATCTATTTTCAGATTGCAATGAGGATGACTAGTTCTAAAGATTTTTTAGAAAGTAAATGCTTTGTCTGATTCCCTTCCTCCCCGCGCCCGCCCCCCTCGGCCCATGGCAATATTTTAGTGTTTCTGCTGTGTCGGATGTCTCCTAAATAGCCATTTGATAGCTAATCTTTTTTATTTTGAGTATATAGGAAACAGTGAACTAATTGCCATAACTTGAGGGTGAGGGAAGGAATTTGCCCCCCATCCTGGGGGCATGTGGGTTGGGATTTGGGTTAAGGAAAGAAGGAATTTCCTGCCAGCCTCAGGTTCTTATTATGCCCTGAAATGTAGACTAAGCAAGTTAACAAAGTGGGGTGGGTGTCCGTCCGTCCATCCGTCTGTCTCACCCTTGGTCCTAATACTTATACCTTTCAGTCCTTTTCTTTTTTTATAAGATACCCCCTGTTTTCTTTCATCGGTTTTGATTTTTAAGAGGTGCCTTCTTGTTTTGAAAGAGAATTTTCATATAACATCCCATTGTACTTTGGCAAGAAGCCACGGTATAGGTATTCTCCTAGGGATAGCATTACAGTGCACTTCTGCATATCCAAAATGCCCAGTTATCCAGAAATATTAATCAATCAATCATAGAATATCAGGGTTGGAAGGGACCTCAGGAGGTCATCTAGTCTTGCACCTATATACATCACTGCCATAAATCTGCTGTATCTGACCTGCAGAAATTTCTGCCTCAGTATTTTCTGGAGTTTAAATTATACCCACTGGGGTCTCCTGCTTGCTGGTAGAAAATACAGTAGCAAGTGACTTAACTGCTAAGCCTCAGTTTCAGTCTGTAAAATAAATGTAATGGAAGGTTGTGAGTCTCAATATTTTGTGAAGTGCTCAAAAAACGTTAGATACGTGAATGAGCTTTTTCCCTGTCTTACTTGCACAGCTGAGGAGGACTGTATGAAACTAAAGAGACGATAAATGTTCTTCTGCGTTGCTTGAAGGGTGTTGCGAGAGAGCACTGTGGTGTTCACTCTATTTCTCCTCTCCCTCCCTCAGTCAGGAAGATGAGATTGCTGCCAGATGAAGGCATGAGGTACCTAGCATCAATTTCTGATCCCCTTCATTGAAGAGGAGATGAACTGTATTTAATGTTCTTGTTTAATGGTAGTAGATCTTTAAAATCAACATAAATAAGGGTTTTTCTTTTCTTCTGGTCTGTCCAACAAATCTGCTTCTATTGCTGTTGTGTATGAAGCAAATGTATGAAGTGGTGACACTTCCTTTTTCATCATATTTTTGTGTGGTATTTTTATTATGCATTAGGTTATAGAGCCCAACTCACCCTCATAACTGCCATTTCTTCCAATATGAATTCTACATAGAGAATTCACTGCATACAACCTTCCTAATATTACTGTACCTAATTCCATTATGCATGGATTGTGTATAATTTGTAATAAGCAAAATCCAGGCAACCAGTCTTTAGTGATCCTGGTATTATATAAATTATAGTACAATGATGAGAGAAGGGATAGATGTGCTGCAGCACTGTTTAAATACTTATCTTTGTATTAGTGTATTTTGGAATGAAAGCATGAGTCCCCCTGCTCCCTCCTCCACACAACCCTCCCCTGCCAGTTAATAGGATGAACACACATTGAAGCCTTTACTAGTCTTTGTCTTTCGGCCTAACTGGCAAAAAATTTGATTGCTGTTTGATTAGTCAGTGCACTATAATGTGTATCACCTGTCTAAGGTACAATCTGTTGGAACACTTTATAAACTCTACTTTGTTGTTTTCTAGTTCATATTGAAAAAGAAGTTAAATTGTGTCCCAAGAGAGTCATATTTTCAGAACAAACTGATGCATCATTGCGTTCAGTCAAGGTGAGTTGGAAAAGTGAACCTAGTATAGCCAATAACTTTTCAAGTACCCTTAGGGCAGGGATGGGTAAACTACGGCCCGTGGGCCACATCTGGCCTGCCAGCCATTTTAATCTGGCCCTTGAGCTCCTGCTGGGGAGTGGAGTCTGGGGCTTTCCCTATTCCAGCACTCCAGCCGGGGAGCAGGGTTGGGGGCCGCTCTGTGCGGCTCCTGGAAGCAACAGCATGTCCCCCCTCTGGCTCCTGTGCACAGGGGCAGCCAGGGGGCTCCACTTCACATGCTGTCTCTGCCCCAAGCGCTGCCCCCGCAGCTCCCATTGGCCAGGAACCGCAGCCAATGGGAGCTGCAGAGGCAGTGCACAGCAGAGTTGCTTGGCCGTGCCTCCGCGTGGGAGCAGGAGTGGGGACATGCTGCTGCTTCCGGGAGCTGCTTGAGGTAAGCGCCGCCCAGAGCCTGCACCTCTGAGCCTGCATCCCAACCCCCTGCCCCAGCCCTGATCTCCTTCCCCCTGCCCTCCGAACCCCTTGGTCCCAACCTGGAGCAACCTCCTGCACCCCAATCCCCTCATCCTTAGCCCCACCCCAGAGCCTGCACCCCAACCGGAGTACTCCCCCTTCCACGCACCTTCCTCACCAACCCAGAGCCCCCTCCCACACCCCAACCCCAATTTTATGAGCATTCATGGCCTGCCATACAATTCCTATATCCGAATGTGGCTCTTGGGCCAAAAAGTTTGCCCACCCCTGCCTTAGGGTCTAGCCTGGAGGTGCTGGATATATGGAATTCCTACTGAAGTGAACTGCAATTAACAGCAAGAGAGAGTCCTTCGCCAAAACTTCCTTAGGGAAGATGCTCTTAAGTTACAGTCTTTACTTCAGTACTGACTTATGCAAAGTACAAAACTGGCTATTTAAACCACAAAACAAAAAACCTAATTATACTGCATGAGATGATTAACAGCATTATACCCTTTGAGAGAACTGTTCTGATAGCTTGCATTGGTAAGAATATTTTCTCATATCTATATTATGTTGTACATCTCTACTGGCCTCGTGTTCCTCTCCCAAATAACCCTATTTACATTGTGAAAACTGACTTCCTCTTTTCTCCAAGTAAGAGCTTGGTGGTAATAGATTGGCAGTGGCTTGGAAACGTCACCCTTCTTTTTAAAAGGCAGGATCTATTTGCCCTCTTGGTTTAGAATCTGATTTATTTTAAGGATTTTGAGAGTTCTGCACACCCAATCCCTTGAGATCATCATTCTATAACTTGAATCTCAATCTAGAATCAAAATGGAGTTCTAGAACCGAGGACTTGTTTATTTTTGCTTATTAAACTAAACCACTTACCCTTTTGGGTATTATTTTATTTCTTCTCTCAAACAGACTAAGCAGGTACGGTCAAGCAAGATATTGTTAGAGAAACAGTACGAAAAAGGGTTAATAGCATTCACCCTTTGAGTTGTTTGGCCGACAATGCCAGTATTCAAGTGAGAAAGCAAAATAGATCTGCTAGCAAAAAAGCATTAGTGTAAATTTTCATAAATTCAGCACAAACCATTAGAATTCCCATTTTAAAGTTCTGTTTAAAAAGGGGAGGGATAACATGGACCCCAAAAATGTATTCAGAGTGCTTAGCACAGGTGATAGCATACCATTGGTGGGAGACATCTCAATGCCATATGTCTAACACAGTTCCTGTTTTCTTCATGATGACAAGCCCTAAGAAGATGAGTTGTACGAACATATACCTGTTAGTACTGCTCCTAACTTATTTATCACATAACTGTGAAAATGTCAAAAAGAAATGCAAAGAAAAGTCAGGCCATCTGTACTGGTGCTTAGGCTAACTTGTAATTACATCTTAAGGTGCCACACTGTGAAGTCAGGGACCCCACAAAAAGACCTACTCGCACTCCTTCTCTTCTCCCTCCTTGCCTCTTCCAAAAGTGTGGTGTTCCCTATCTGCATAGTCAGGGAATGCTCTGAAAAATTTCAAGGCAGCTGTGATCATTTCTCATCGCTGATTTCATTCAAATTTGAAAGGGGAAATCTGAGCAGCATGAACCCTAAAAACAAATAGAAAAAGAGAAATATTTGCTTCAAATTATGCCCTGAAAGTGAATCTGAGGAATCTGGATCATCTAAATTGAAATACTTCAGGGAAATGGCAAACAAATACTTTAGCACAGGGCTTCTCTAGCGCGGGGTCGGGACCCCTCAGGGGGTTGCAAGGTTATTACATGGAGGGGTCATGAGCTGTCCGCCTCCACGCCAAACGCTACTTTGTATCCAGCATTTCTAATGGTGTTAAATATAGTAAGTGTTTTTAATTTATGGGGGGGGGTTGCACTCAGAGGCTTGCTATGTGACAGGGGTCACCAGTAGAAAAGTTTGAGAACCACTGCTCTAACACTATAACTGTTCCTTACACAGCTATCACTGCTTGTAAGAGCTCCTGATCCCAGTATATGCAGCGTGCGCACAAAAGAAGCTGTAGACCTGGGGTGGCCAGCCTGTGGCTCCAGAGCCACATGCGGCTCTTCAGAAACTAATATCCGGTTCCTTGTCTAGGCACCGACTCCGGGAATGGAGGTACAGGCGCCAACTTTCCAATGTGCCGGGGGGTGCTCACTGCTCAACCCCAGGCCCTGCCCTCACTCCACCCCTTCCCGCCCCCTCCCCTCAGCCTGCCGTGCCCTCGCTCCTCCCCCTCACCTCCTGCATGCCACGAAACAGCTGATCGGGAGGTGTGGGGAGGGAAGGGGAGGCGCAGGGGTGTGGGAGCTGATGGGGGGGCTGCTGACATAATACTGTGGCTCTTTGGCAATGTACATTGGTAAATTCTGGCTCCTTCTCAGGCTCAGGTTGGCCACCCCTGCTGTAGACTCTTGAGATTTCCCAATAGCCTATTTAAAAAGGCTGGAAAGGTAGTATGGAGCGGGAGCAGGAGACCTGGCTGGTCTGAAAATGTAGTTACCTGCAACAAGTCTACTGTGCATTTTGGGCAAACGAAGTAGGTTTTTTTATTTTTGTTTTTTAAAAAATGATTGCAGTCATGATACACTTGTATAACTACTTGCTCTCTTTTTTAGTTGCAGACTTTCTGGTAGAACAGAATTGAAGAACGTTTAACGTTTTGTAATAAGCGAATGTTACAAATGTCTTCATTGGATTGTATTGTGCTCTTCAGTACCTTTGTATCATGTTTAAAAATAGTCAAAATACCATTTGGAATTTCAACATTGTTGGGCTTTGAGGAGATGTAGCAGCACATCATGGTTTGTAGGGACAAGGAGATACAGACCATTCTGGGCTGCCTCATTACCTCAAGGATAGACAAGAAAGGGAGCTTCTGGGTGTCAGCTGTGGAAGCTACCACATTCTCATGTATCTCTTAGATCAGTTGAACAGGTATGTTTAGATACATTTTTGTACTGCTTTTACATGTACGCTTTCTTTCCAGCCTGCAAAGGTAGAGTATTGGTTTTATGCCTTTGGTGAATTTGCCTAAAATGGGTCCAGGGATTTGCGTTATTCTAACCTGTTGCCCCGATCACAGGCCATGTGATTGTTCAATATTTCATTACCTTCCAATATCCGTAATAGTCTATTAAGATGACGCTAAGTCATCTTTAATGTTGTGTCTTCAGTTGACTTACACCAGTTGCATGTTGCCTGAAGTAATCCTGCTTCCTGTTTTCTTCAACATTCTTTCCTCTGTTTAAGACAAATAAATTGTAGGTATTATGACAACCATCAGGGATTGTAAAAACGGGGTTCTGGAAGTCACAGAGACCTCTTCACAGTGGAAGCATGTCAGCAGTGCTGTAGCAGCACGTAAATACTGGAGTTTAGGATTGCCTAGCTGCTCTCCAGTATTGCATTGCTGCTTTAGTGAGGCTGGATGGTCGTGCCTACGGCAGGAACCAGTGCTGCTGCTGCCAGCCTGTGGTGCCTAGGGCAACAAAACAACCTTATCGCACTGTTAAATGTGGAGAGATGCTGTATGATCAGGTTTTTAAGAGGGGTATTAAGAGGTTTCCTGGTCTGTAGATCTGACTTAAGAACAAAATAATATGAAGGTGGGAAAAATTGTTCTTGAACTGTGTATTATTTAATGGGCTAGTGATGCCGGAGAGGGAAGCAAGAGGCATTTGAAGGATGGGTAGGGAGAGATCTGTTTGCAGAGCTCATTCACTTCACTGTCTGAACAGCGGGTATCTTAATGCGGTTTATTAACAGCAGCCCCCAGATTCCGAATGTGCTCCAGGTGCCACGGGTCCCGTAGAATAAGAACCCAAGGAGCGTTGGCTGGGTAGGCCATGGGCCAGCCGCACGAGCACAGGACGAGGGTCCCGATGGCAAGGGCCAGCTGCTGGGGATGGCTCGTGTCTCGCTGAGGGTGGGCAGAGCCATGGGTGCTCACCTGGTGGAGCCGTTCCCTGAGCTGTGGGGCTGGGGGCTCATCGCAGACCCACCTCTCAGTCTGTCCCCTACTTGCTAAGAATAAAAGCTGCAGTAGCCAGGGCCCAGGACTGGCCTGGCTCTTCCTTGGAGGTGCTGCGGTGGGTTAGACTGGGTAGTAGCCCCAAGGGAGGGTAATGTCCATGCTCTGGGGGGGCTCACGGGGGGCTTGGGTAAGCATCATCCGCTATAAGGTGGGGTGGGGGGCTGAACCCTAGAGCTGTGCCAAGATGCCAGCTGGCTCTTCCCTGGAAGCCCTGCAGCTGGGGGGGGTCCGTACCGGGATCGGTTCCTGGGCCGGGCTGTTAACGCCAAATGCCCCGAGCGGCCGGGGTGGCGGCTACGCCCCCGCCCGGCCGCGCTGCAGCGCCCCCCGGCCTGGGGCCCCCGGTCTCGCCGCGGGGCCCTGCAGCGCCGCCCGAAGCCGGCAGGGGGCCGGGCGGGCGGGCGAGCGAACGCGTGTCCTGGGGAGCTCGGCGCGGCCTCCCCGGAGCTGCCGGCTCCCAGCCCGCTCTGCCCATCAGCCGCCCTGGGGGCCCCCGAGCCCGGCCGGGAGCTCCCCGGCGCTGCGTCCTTCCGGCGGCACCTCCAGGGGTCCTGCCCCGGGGGCGCTCGGCCGAAGCGCGGGCCCCGCGCCCGGTGGGCGCCGGAGCTTCGGGCAAAGGCTCTGCCGGGGGCGCCCCGCGCGGCAGCCGGGGTCCGGGCGGCTGGGACGGGCCGGCCCCGGCTCCCCGGGCGTCTCCGCCAGCTGCGCTCTGCGCCCGCGGGAAGCGCAGCGGGGGCCCCGGGGCCGCTCCGCGCCCGCGGCAGGGGGCGGTCGCGCCGGCGCCGGCGGCAGGTCCCGGTTCCGCTGCCCGCCCGTTCACACTCGCCACGTGCTCGCCGCCGCTGCGGGGTGCCGGGGGCGGTCGGGGTGCGCGGCTCGCTCAGGCTGGAGCCGCTGCGGCGGGCAGAGCGGGCGGAGATTTGAGCGGAGCCGGCGGCGGGTCCGAGGCAAAGGGGCCCCCCTCCAGCCGGGGTTCGAGCCCGACCCGACGCTCCTGGGGGAGAGGCGCCGCCCGCCAAGGCGGGCCCGGGCGGTGGGAGGCCCCGGGCGTGGGGGAGCCCGCGAGGGACGGGGCAGCCCCGATGGCAGAGACGTCGGGCAGGATCCTGCCCTAGGCGCTCAAATCTTGAACCCCGAGCCCCACGGGGCGGGGACTCGCTCCTCGCCCTGGAAGGGCTGAGCCCGGCGCAGGCTGCGACCCGCCCGCGGCTTGCTCCGGGCTACACCGCTCTGATTTGCAGCACCCAAGGGGGCTCTCGCCTCGCCTCTCCAGTCCCCCCGGGGAGCGGCCAGTGCTGGAGCTCCGACGGGCGCTGCGATCCCTGCCCCGGGCTGTTCTCAGAGTCCGAAGGTGGAGAGCAAAGCAGGGGCCGGCGCTTCTGAGGTGCGGGCGGGTGAAGCTGGGAAGTTTCTGTCGAGGAGGCGGGAAGGCCCGGGGAGCGGAGGGTTTGGGGGAGCAGCGCGTCCGAAAGAAAAGGCAGCAGCCTCCTCCCAAGTGCAAGCCCTCAATAGCAGTCAGGGCTGCTCAGTGCCTCTGAAAAAAGGGACCCCTCTTAGGCACCCGTATGTGAAAATTTGGTCAAAGTGTTCAGTCCTAAGAGCCCGTCTCTGGCAAACTCCTATTCAAGTCCATGGACATTTTGCCAGTACAAGCTGTGTGGCTGGGGGTGAGGGATAGGTAGAGAATAACTCAGCTTGGCTTTCAGACCCCAGGGAATATTTGCTGGGCTGGCAGAAAAATACCGTTTATCACAGAGAGTATATGAGATCTGGAGCCAGATCCTGCAACCTGCCTTCTCAGGCCCGTTTTATGTAGCTATTTTTTGAAGCACCCTAGCCATTCACCTTTCAGGAGCAACTTGTTGCAGTCTTTCACCTTCAACCTACCAATACCTTGCCCAGCACCTCTCAACCCTCCATGGTTCCTAGGCTTCCCATCTGGCATGATGCTTTTACCTGTAGCCAGCAGGGCAGCATCTGAGCACTTCCCATGAGTGCATTAAGTAATGTGAGTAGCACCTGTGATTGATGGTTCTTTCCTCTCTTTTTCCCATCCTGTCTGTCGGAAAGTGATTGGTCACAAGAGGAGCTGGTCCCCTTGGTGGTTTGCGGCTCTGAGAAGGGATCTCCCCTTGCTAGGGTGGGGAAAATCACAACTAGCTCTTTAACCTCCAGGCTGGGGTCAGCAGACAGTTACCAGTGAGAGGTCCAGCTGCTACAGGACTCCCGCTCAGTGCAGTCGCCCACTTGTCCTCAATTAATTCATTTGTCAAAGACAAATGTTCCCTGCTTCTTTGCTGCAGCGTGGGTACATCATTCCAGCAGAGCAGCTTTGCCATTCTAATGTCTCACAATTCAACCATTTCTTTCTCAGGCTTTAAGATGGGTTGGCTAAGTTCTAGCTTTGCATATTAACATGAGAAAGAGAACAGGGATTTTCTAAACCTCCCGCAGCTTCCAACAAACACACACTTATGACAGTTTTGTAAATTCTCTTTGCTTTTTCCTTTAGTCATTTCTGAAGAAACCTAGCCACATACTAATCATGAAAGTCAAGGTAAGCAATGCAGTGGGTTCCATAAGTGAAATTGATAAGGCTGTTGAATATACAGAGGATGGCTCGTCTTAACTGGGTCATACTTTCTTGATGTGTACCACAGTAGCACCCAGACATCACCATCAGGGTTGGGGCTTTGTTGTATTTGCTGTTGTACAGATGGACAAAAGAAAGAGCCCCTGCCCTGAAGAGCTTATGCAGCCTAATCTTTCCTGCTGGATTTAGATCTGTTATCCACAGTTTACATTTGGTTCCCTCTGCAGAGTACAGCCCTGAAGCCAGCCAAAGAACCCATTCCTACAAATTATCCATATTTATATGTAGTGCACAGGAACGCAGAGCCTGCAGTGTAGCTGAGAGCTAACTGGTGATGTTACTCCTCCAAAGGAAATGGTGATTTGCTCAGGGTCCTCCTTTGTGGGAGGGTAGCTGCTCTTTTACGTTGGCTCACAATCTGAGGGGCTTCTTGGATCTCCAAGTCCTATGCTCAGACTAGCATTTGCTGGAGCTGCTCTTTAATCACCTGCACTTGACAAGAAGGTTGCAGCCTTTTCTTTCAAAGGCACCGCTCATCCCAGCCATCCACTCCTTTTGGGAGCGTGAAGCTGAAATATGGCAACCTTCCAGTAGAGAAACAGCAGAGGGCACGGGTCTAGTGGCTTGAAGGGAGGGCCTGTGAGCCTGGATAGGACCCAGTTTAAGTTCCACTGTGGAATTGGCTCATGGGTCTGAGGGTAAAGCCTTTCTAACCCTTTAAAAACGTGTATGGACGTGTTGTGCGAGAAGACGGATCTGCCGCTCACCAGCAGATGGAACGCTGAGATCATCACTAGATGAAACTTGTTAGATGCGAGGGCCAGACCTTGTTCCTTCAGATGGAGCAGGTTTTCCAGCATAGATTGAAGGGAAGACTAAACGGAGAAATGTTTCCATTTAGCCAGGTAAGTAGCCATGATGGACTTGTTCCTAACAGGCTTGCTCCTCTGAGTTCAACCATGGAGCTTCCACATGGTCAGGTCAGGGCCAAATTAATCTTTCATGGGCCCCAGTGCCCACCCCCTGCTCTGCCCAAGCTCTGTCCGGGCTCAGTCTCTTCCCCCCAGAGCCCCGTCTGCTGCTTGCCCAGGAGGGGAGGGTGGGAAGAAGTAAGCCCAGGAGGGGGCAGAGCAGAGAGGGTTGGCGCCACAGTGTGGGTGATGGGGCCCCTTCTTACTATTGGCCTGGCACGACTGTAAACTCGGTACTGGGTCAGGTGAAAGGCCCCGAGGTTTGGGTGAAGTAAACGTCTGTGGTCTTGTGAGATCAGATCTGGGCGGGGCAGGCGTGGCAGCGGGGGTGCTACTGACAAGTCGAATAGCCGGCCGAACCAGCGCAGACAGCGTGGTATGGTTAACTTTCATATGTCCAGCGATTTTGACGGTACTGATGCAGTTCCATCCTGGAGAATCAGTCTGGAAAGTAAGAGATAAATTGGGAGAATGTTCAAAGGCATAAAGGGCAGTTAAGCACCTATCTCCCAATAGAAGTGGGTGGGATCTAGCTACCTTACCCTTCTGTGACTTTTGAAAATTCCCTTTCAGTCCAAGATGGGGCAAAGCGGTGGTATAAATGTCCCTCTATAATGATGTTAGATTATGAATCAGAAACTGAGGGAGCTGCTGTAATATAATCAATACTTGCAAGGCTTTCATATGAAAGCAACAGCTTGATTGTTCTTCAGAACACCCACCTTTCAGGACACAGTTACGGGGGGGTAGTTAAGAAGTGCTTGTGAGAGAGTCTAAATATTTAATTTTCTGTAAAATAAAACTGAAAAATGCAAGTAGTTCTAACTGGAAGACCACAATCACTAGACAAAAAGAAAAGGAGGACTTGTGGCACCTCAGAGACTAACAAATTTATTAGAGCATAAGCTTTCGTGAGCTACAGCTCACTTCATCAGATGCAATCATTAGACAGGTTAGCAGTTAAAATTCAACATGTCAAACATTGGGTTAAAGCTATGCTGATAACTTTAGAATCCAG